ATTAACCATTATCTGAAGTCTGCTGCTGTTTCATGGCGAGGGATGCGTTGCCATAGTAACACCACATTACGTAACATCAGATTTGATGTAGCGCTGAGTTAACCATTATCTGAAATCTGCTGCTCTGAGCATGTCAGTTGGAGCTATGACATCATCGTGTTCCATGACACAGGTGTTTATATTTGAGCTAACACGTGTCCAGAGATCAAAGGTTTCCATGGTGAGAGCATTTTCATTGTTCTGAATGAGAGATAAACCTCTTACATGTGAACGTTTTGTTGAAGAACCGTAACAGATATCGGTGACATTTCAAAACGTGAAGCATGTCAAGGAACTTGAGCATCTGAAGTGTACTTTTTGTGTACTTTCGGGTTAATAATGTGGCCTTTTTGGCAGATTAACTAAAGGTGTGCGGCTGCTGTGGTGGGGAAAGATGAGGCTGAATTTACAATGGGGTTTAATGGAGACATGTTGAACGTTTTTGTCACTTCATGCCCTCAAGAGGCATTTTGTTTAATTATTTATTTTTTTATTTTTTTATTTTTCAAGCTATGAGATGTTTTCCTACGCTTGTCATGACGAATTATGTCTCAGGAGTGTAGGGTTTGGGAATTATGGCAGGTTTAAAAAACAATATGAAGGCAAATTTCAAGCTGTCCTCCACTCTAGCTTTGAGATCATACACCTTAACGAGCTGCTCAATATACATTAATGTTAAAATCTGAAGAAGGCCTCTTTACCAAGGTCTGAACAATGTTTAATATCTCTAAAAGTATGAATCAGATTTAAAATGTGTGTAACACGAATAATGTCAGAAAGATGTGTAACATTTTAAAGTTGGAATGAGGTTTCTGAGTGAAAGTAGAAAGGAGCAGCGGTTGAAGAAGGAGCAGTTGAAGTTGCATGAAGATTGTTCAAGTCTGAAGAGTTTCTCCATTGACTTCCATGTTAAAAATGTGATGAATTATGGGATATATCTCTGGAATTATGAAAGTTATGAATGAGAAAAGTAATAGCCATCGATTCCCGACCGAGCTGAACGTTTTAATGTTTTAACAGAGTTTCTGCGATGTGGAATGTGGGAGAAGAAGAGGTGCAAANATCACGGTAAAATATGTTCGTTTTGTTGTAGTTGTAGCCCCCGAGCCAGCGCGTCTTGTTTTTTCACCGCGGCTGTCAGCTGTGTTTACTCACATCATTCAAACAAGACGCGCTGGCTCGGGGGCTACAACTACAACAAAACGAACATATTTTACCGTGATTAAGTTGTAATACACGTTTCTAAATGATGCCGACGTAACAACATACTGATACCAGTTAGTAAAAACCATGAATTAATGCTTGACAAGTCTGCAGACAAGACGGCAGGCGAAAAACCTTTTAAAATGCTTGTTTTCTGAATGGAGATTGGGTCGACCAGGCTAAGCTAACGTTGTATATGCTCCGTCCACACTCATAACAACGGCCTACAGACATAAATAAACCAGCGACTGTATTCTCCATGACACAGACAGTCTGTGGTTTGTACTTGTTTAACTTTTGTCCAGTTTCTGAACAGATATGAGGAGCTGTGAGCTCTGTGTGCTAACTGCTAACAGCTAATGGCTGATGTTTTCTGTTTGAACGTCAGTGACGGCAGGCTGAGATCCTCACCTCTGATTGGCTTCCACAAGAACGCGTCACGTGAATTGGACGCTCAAGTTGAAAAAATTGAACTCTCGCGATTGACGCTGCCCCCATCAATCGCCTCAATCGCGTGATTCGCGCCGCGTCCACCGCTTCATGCGCGCCGTCGGAGCGAATTTGCGTCTGATCGTGTCTCTGCATTGACTTTAAATGTAATCGCGCCGCCCCCAAAAGTTGCATCGCGTCCGGTGTGAACGCAGCATTATGGGGTGTCATCATATGCCATTTCCATGTAAACGCATCCCTCGCCAGTAAAACACATGTCGCTGTACTCCAAGGACACGGTCCGATCATCCCCAAACTTCATTGTATATTTCACCGGCCATGCCTCAACAGCTTTTAAGCCAAATCTGAGATCTCCCACCTAGGTTTGGTTGCCATGGAAACGCATCCCTCGCCATAAAACACGATGTCGCTGTGGCCAATGGACACGGTCCGGTGTCCTTCCCACCAACTTCACCTGTATCAACTCTCCCATGCCTCAACACTCTACGTCAAATCTGACATCGCACATTATTGCCGTTTCATGGAAACAAATCCCTCGCCAAAAAACCATGATGTTGGTCATAACGCCTATGAAAGGGTAAAAAACAGCACCCACACTTCAAGAAATGGTTAACGGTCCACCTCAACCAGCCTAGCAATTATGGGGTTTCATCATATGCCGGTTTCCATGGGAAACGCATCCCTCGCGGCATAAAAGGACTGATTGTCGCATAACTCCTATGAAATATTCAAAAAGTGCTCAAACTTTCCACGTGTGCTAACAGGTTCCCAGCGGTGAAGACAATCTACGGGCCAGTTTTGGATTTCTTCAAATGTCCGGTTTGCCATGGCAACACAATGGCTCGCCATGAATACACGGTTTTCTTCATAACTTCAGTGAAAAAACGGCCCAAAAACTTCACAGGTTGGTAACGATGCAGCCATCAACGCATCTAAGCTGTATTATGGGAATGTCAATCAAATCGCCGTTGGCATGGCGACAGATCATTCACCATTCAAGTTAGTTCAAAAGTTTGCAGTTCAAATATTCTGGGCTGCTTTCCAAAGCCCCTTTTTACTTTCTTTCTATCCTCCTCATCACCGACATTCAAGCCCAGTGTGTTCTTGTATCATTTCAATCTAAATTCTTCACTTTCTTCTTACACATTTACATTTCGCATAGCAGTTTAGCTTCAGCTTTCAGCATAAGCATTCCACTAGCAATTTCTTCAAGGACATTGATTCTATAGGTTTTATTACTGTTGGTCTAGTGGTCTCGAGTCAGTGTTAATACTCTGGTACATGTAGCTTGTGCTGATTAATCGGCTTTCTTGCCTTTTCGCTGCCTTGCGATTCATCGGGATAAAAAACCTTCCACTGGTTTTGGGGAAAGCTCATTTATGTAATTTGGCGGTAATTTTCTTTACAGCTTCCTTGAAGACAAACCACTTTGCTGAGAGCCATGCGGCAAAGGGATATTAATCAATCCAGAATCAAACAGGAGGAAGCAGACAATATTATATAGTATTACCTTCAATTTTTTGGGTCACAGCAAGTAATAATATAAGGTTATCCAATAAAAGATTAGAAAATAAAAAAGACTCCATT